CAGGCCGTTTGCATCAAGCAAACTGCAGACGTCTCATGGTCATATGCCCGGTGGCCTGTTGCGGATATGGCGCGGCAAAGTCCTAGTCACCACGTTCCTGCCAGTTCCTGCCCCTCTTTGGGTGTGGAACGTCCAGCCTGCTGCTCGGGCGTGCATGGACTGCCGCGAAGCCTGACACTGCTCGAGCCCACGACTTTCAGAAGGCAAGCGCGCGCGCGCGCGTGCACATGTGCTTTGGGCACAGGCATTGCTTCCGAAAGTGTCAGACTTCGTGGACAGTGAGGCTGAGGGCTGAGGACGGGGGCGTGCGGCGGGCGGCATGGCGAGATGCCGGCAGGTCAAGCTTTCCACGAGGAGCTGGCAATACCCGCGAGGGAGGGATCGCCATATGCAACGTCCTACAATCAGCACCCTCGAGGCTCAAGCAGATGCGTGAGGATGTGTGGGCATGGACTGGTGGGGCTGCAGCGGCTGTGATGGATTTGGAAGGGCGGGGTGAGGGCGGAGGGACGGTGGCGACAACTACTTCTCACTCATCAACATATCGAGGTTATTGCATGATGAAAACTCTTGTGGCCTTGCAGCCTCAATTGCATTCTCAGTGAATTTATCCGGATGTCGCAGAGTTTCATGCGGCGCTGCATCTTTCATTGCTAGCGGCTAGCTCGAAAGGTGCCCTACAAACTGTCATAAACACCGGTGCAAACCAAGGGTTCAAGCAGATGCATTTTGCGGAGCACTGCGGAGCATGAAGCTTTACTTTCCGAGAATCCGTACTCAGCCTTATGCTGCAAGAACAACTTGGCAGCCTGATATTGCCGTTCAGGCTGAATGAAGTCACATCTCGGGTTTCTGAATTTCAGGTCCGGAGTCCGGAACGCCTCAGAGCGCCCCTGGGTCTAGGCTTTGAGAAAAAGGAGATGTGCTAGCGTCACGTTAGATTCGATTTCGAAGAAGCTGTGTGGGGTTTAGAACTTACAAGACCCTGTCTCGTGAAAGCTCGCGCGCGAACAGATGCAATGTTTGCGAAGCCTAGTCCAACATGGCGCATGTTTCAAACCTATATGAGATATCGCCCGCCAGGGTCTTGCGCGGTAGCTTCATGGGAGTTGGGATTGCGAGCTAGATCAGGCATCCCAACTGAAATGTCGTTTCAGAGCGGAGTTAGGACGGGACGGCCCCTAGCCGCCCAAGTTTGTCACAACAATCTGTTGGACGGTTTGTCGGATAGTGATGGTTGCATGGCCAGGACTTTTACTATTATATCTTGTGGGCAAGTCGCGGGGCAAACCGACTACCCAGCCTTCCCCCCTCCGTGCCTTGATTGAGTCGAGTCACACAATGCACAGCCGACACAACAGATCTTTCGGAACGTCAGCTCCAGCCTCAGCAGTTCCAGTTTGTACGGCTGTGACCTTACATAGGCAGACCTTCCTTCGGAGCCTTCAGGTATCCTTTTGATATCTCGGCGCAGCACGCGCCAAGGGAGAGGCTTTTATGTACTTACCCATGCTCTTGCCATAGCTTTTGCTTTTGCTATTTCTCCTGTTCTTGGTTTTTCTTGCTCTTGCTCTTACTGCTGCTATTGCTTTTTGCTTTCTTGTGCTGCTCTTGCTTTTGCTCCGCCTGAATGCCAGCTTTGCTTTTGCTTTGTTGATGTCGCGGCAGCTTGCCCGATGCATTGTTGGCTTTGCATCGTTGCGGCTGGTGCGCCAGCTTGCCCCGTGCTTTGCCATCTGCTTTTGTTGCTGGAACGCCATCACGCCCCTTAATGAAGTTGTGGGAGCCCGGCGCGCTCTGCGGGCTGGAACTCCAAGTCTATTAGTGGCGCTATGACAGTTTCGGAGCCACCTGTAGGCTGCGGCTAGACTCTGTCCCTGAAGGAGCCGCCTACTCACTCATTCACTCACTTGTTGCTTGGACCCGCTGGCATTGTGGGGCTCTGGGCTCTAAAGACGGCGCCCCCTGTGACGGGCGTCCCCACGTAGCGCTCGGCCCGCAGGGAGCCCAGGTCGCCCACTTCCGCACAGGAGCTAAGCAGAGCTAAGCTAAGGATCCCAGCCTGGGAGCTTGGAAGCTTCAGGAGTTACTTCGGGATTCAGGGTCAGGGTCCGTGTAGATTTGCGTCTCATGTGCAGCATCGTTAGACGCCTCCACGCTGAGGCCACAGCAAGTGTGAAGCCTCCTTGGTAAGATCTTGAGCTTCAGGATGAAGGCTTTTGACATAGCCATGGCCATGGTCATGATGGCAGTCGTGATGATTCTTTTGCTGACCTCCGTGTGTTCTTTTCCGCTGTTTGTGAGGCTCTGAGTTTTCTTGCCAGTCTTACAGCGCCAAAGTGAGTAATTACAAATCCTCGCAAAATCAAGGTATTGCTTCAGTTGAAGCCTGCTGTTTGTTGACCACAGCACGGTCACAACAGCCTTGGGCGTCTGCACCATAGTGCACCACCTCTAAAGTGTTCACAATCCTCATAAGCGTAAAGACCTGAATGCCGGCCGAGGTTTTAGAGACAGGGCCAGGGTCGCCACCTCAGCATGCTTTTCAGGGCATTTTTGGGTACTCGAACTAATACTGCTGATGGAGAGAATCCTGCGTTTTCCAGGGGCCGAAGTACTCGTACCAGAACTGCGACTTCTGCTGCGGCAGCAACACTTCTACTGCTACACGGTGGCGACGACGACGACAACTACCACTGCTACTGCTACTACTACTCCTCCTCCTCTTACCGGCATTCGCAGTAGAACCTCTTCGGCTCAGCGTTTCAGAAGTGCTGAAGGAAAGCTGCGCACATTTCACCAGCTGTTGGCCTTGATGTGCCAGTTTTGCCTGTTGTCTCCACAACATGTTTCTCGAGCCTGCGATCACAGTCTTCGGTTATACCGCCTTGAAAGGAAGCTTGACATGCTTTCCACGCAATGATGAGTTCACATGTTTTTGCATGAGACGTGAATGAGGTGGGGAGAGGTGTGTACATAGTCACGTCGAGATGACAGCCCTTCCAGATGACATGGCCGAAAGCTCAGCATAGCTGACCCAGGGTGTATTGTCTGACGCATGCGCTTCAAGCCCGTTGTCTATACTGAAATCACCGCTGTGCTTTCACCCTGAAGCGCTGCGACCAGAGATCACCATCCGCTGACAGCACAGACTCCGTCATGCAGTGCATTTATGTGTTTATGTGTTGTTTGGCCTCCTGCTCTCTCTCTCTCTCTCTCGCTCCTGCTCTGCCTGGCTAAATTGATATACGTATAGGTATAATGTACATATACAGTTAGACACATATACACAGGTACACGTACATATCCTTATGTGGATTCCATATACGGATATACGTGTACATACATGCGTGTATATGCATACGTACATACGTTGGTATCAGTGCATGTATAGATGCCTGCACATACATAGTACCCGTACATACACAAGTGCGTACATACATACACATACACTCATGCCATGGACACACACACACACACGCTTACCTATGGACATGCATGTGCAAAAGCCAGATCAACAAGTCAATCAAACAAATGAACACAATAAGTAACACAAAGATTCAAAGTTTAGTCTGATATCTATGTAATGCTATGCAGTGTGTGCGGATGTGTATCATGTATGTATGTATGTATGCATGTATGTATGTAAGTACGTGCATAGTAGGTAGGTAGGCACGTAGGCACGTGGGTAGGTATGCAAGTATGTAGGTTCGCATGGGTATATGTTTGTACGTCTATGTGTGTATGTAAATACGTAAATATGTATGTACGTATGTATGTATGCATGCATGTATGTTTGCATACAAATACCAATGTACACGCGCAGCAGAGTTTGGCTTGCACATGCTCGTGCATACACGCAGTGCAAGTGATTGCAGAGCTATTCTCAGTTATACAACCGGTGTACATGTATGTATGTATATATATATACATATATATATATATATGTATATGTATATATTCTACACACTCATAGACGCAAATGTATCTACATGTCCAGCTTTGGTTTGCCTGCTTCCGTGTGTTGAGAACTCGTCTTGCCTTGATTGATGGCTTTCGGGATCTTTTGCGATTTCTGTGCTCCTGAGATCTCCTGACATGCATTGATAGGATTGGAACTGCACTTTCCGTATCATGTTTCGGCTTCGGTCAGCGGTAGAATGCATTTCAGGCGCTACCTTCGTCATCTTCTTGTGCATTTGTTGTTTGCGGTTCCTCCGGTAGCACATTTCTGAACAGGTTGCCTCCGACCTCACCTCGGCCATTGTGCTGGCTGGCGTGAGACATGAGGAGCTTCTGCTTTGTGGCACAATGCACCGTGCCTTACTCTTGCTAGGGTAGCGCTCAGAGAAGGCAGCCACAACTTGCAATCTACAGTGTCCACAACATGCAGACTGCAGATTCTAGCTTCAGCCTCCTGAAAGCATGTCATGATGGCAGGAGACAATCGCTGCCTTCGATGACGGCCCCAAGCGACGGTCGAGATGGTCGGAGTGCAAGGCCAACCTGCAGAATGCCATCTCCAAGCTTGCACGGGGGAGCTATTTTCGGACGGGGCATGTTGGACCTTCGATTGTAAGATGATTGCAAATGATTCCTACACGCCTGTTGCTGTTCAAATTTGGTGCTGTATCGAAGCTTAGGCTGATCTTGATAATGATCCATGATGGCATCTTGTCTAGATGCAGGTAGCCAAGAAGGGCAAGCGATGGGGCCTGCCTGACGACAAGCCGTGCGCCAGATCAGTGTTGGCTTGCGGTAGACGTTTACAGCGGCTGTACTTGGCAATCAGGGCATCGGCTCTTGCGTGCTCGTGTATCCTTCGCACCCGTCATGTCCCCCTTCCAGTAGGAACGTGAACCCACGTAGGTTGGAGGTGCAAGTAAATGAATGCAAGTAGCAAGTATAGAACATACTGCCCGGACAGGGTTGCGATTGCTAAGCGAATTGAGCATAAAGTTATCTCCAGGTACAAACCATTGAGCTATGTGGATTTGCCAATGGGACTCTCTGAAAAGGTGGGCCGCCTGTGTATTTAGGCGAGGCATGGCGGGCTTCCAGGAAGGTAGTGTCCATGCATTTTTACGACTTCGCATCTCGGATGGGTAGCAGAGGTTGCGACAACGATAGAGATTCAGCCCCAATGAGACCACCGCACGGATGGACTTGAACCGAATCTCGAAAAAGTTCAGCCTTCCATGTGATGCCTCGATCGCTGAGCTTCCGTGCTGCGTTCAGAACGGTTGTCTTCCTGAAAGGAAAATCCGAATCGTGCATTATATCTATCTATCTATCTATCTATCTATCTATCCCTCGAAGCTGATTCTTCGACTCGCTGTAGATCTGGACTCTGAACGCTTCCAAGCTGCTATCTCTTAAAGCCACCAGCGCCGACCTCTACTGCCATAGCAACATTGTCAACATTCTCCAGTCTCGCTCGTTTGCCAGTTCACGGTCCTTTCTCGACCCAAAGCATTCATCCCAATAGCCGCAAAATCAGCCACAGGAGATTGACCAGTTTCTCCGAGAACAGCGGTTAGAAGATCTCCACAGAAAAATCCAGGCCCATACAGTATGAGGGCTGGCAAGGATTGTGGAGCTTCGGATTCGAAAAGGGGTCCATGTGCTGCTTGGTACGGCGGAGCCTAAGATCTAAGAGGAGCTGTTTTGATGTACGCGACGACTGTGCCTAGCAGCCCCTGAGACGGTTCCCTCCACATAGGAACTGCAGACTTTTGAAGGATATCACTGATAGAACTCCAGGCGTTCTGGCGATGTATAAGATGCAGTTGGGGCACGTGATCGTTTCTTCTGCAACTCTGGAGGCCATCACGCAGGTTGGTAACCTACATAAGCGGCTCGCCCAGTTTCAAGACACTTGAAGCCAACACAAGCCGAGGCGCACGAGCTCGAAGATGTAGATCCAGACATCCGGCCGGAGCCTTGAAGTTAGCGCATGTCAGACCTCAGGGCTCTTTGACTTTTTCTGCTTTGCAAGGGTGGACTGTTGTGTGTGCATCTGCATCTGTTTCTGCTGCAATCAGCCCAGGCCGCCGTCACCGCCACCTGTGTACGACAAGGGCGGCAACCGCCTGAACACGCGGGATGTCCGAATCAGGTGCTAGGGGCTGGGTTTTTTGATCCTTGTCGGACTTCGACTTTACTAGTTGCGGGTCAGTTGGTGCCCAAGACCAAAGCATCTCGAATCCTGTGAGCTTCAGTAGAATTATCACTATAGGTAGCTGCCGCAATATATGACAGGGACAGTGCAGATAGAATGGAATCCTTCTGTATGCTAAGATGGAGCGGAATCTTTTTTCCGTATGCTGGTGCTGTATGGAAGAAGGCTCCAACTCATTTGGATCGACAGCTTGGTTTGAGCGCACGCAGACACAGATAAAGATATACCAGACATATCACAGCCGATCAACATGAACATAGTGGCAATGTAGATGCCTTCCAATATGCACCGAAATGACAAATTATATGTGGATTGTATATGGGTATTGGATGTTTTTTTTTTGTTTTTGACATCCTGCTTGCCGTGGAGATAACTAGCCCTCCAAAAAGATGCCGCTGCATGGGACCAGACACGGCAGGAAGACGCCTGCCCTTAGTGTAGTCATCACGGCCCACAGTCTGCAAGGCCATAGCCAAAACATTGCTCGTAAAGCTAGTTGCACTGCGCCATTGGGAAAACATAGGTGTATGTATGTAGTATGTATAGTATGTATGCAGTATATATGCAGTATGTATGTACATATGTATATATATATATATATACAAAACATACATACATGCACTTTTCACTTTCCTATTTTCACATACATACACATGTACACACGAATACACACACACACATACTCACACTGACACTCACACTCACACTCACACTCACACTCACACTCACACTCACACTCACACTCACACTCACACTCACACACACACTCACTCACTCACGGTCACTCAACCTCAAAGCGCTTAACTGAAGCAGGAAAGGCATGACAGCCGAGTACAACAGACTGATTCGGCCGCTGCCCCAGCAAGAAGCACTTGGGCCGAGGGCTGAAAATTCCGTGACCTCCTGACCAGCAGCATTGGCCAGCTCCAAAAATGTCAGGCATATTTACTGTCTTATTGTCGATTGAAGCGGACATCGGTGCTCCACCTCCTCCCCCTCGCATGTAGCTCATGTAAGAGTACGAAGGTCATCGTCATGGGGTGGCGACGATTAACACGACCCTCCCACTTCCTTTGTGGACTAGAGCACAGGTCTTGCATTTTGATGAAGCCTCGAGTCTCAGGTACATGATCAAACATGTGGACGGCTACCTGCCGCCTGTTGATTGGAAACCTGCGAAGTTGATGAAGAAGATCATCATCCCCATCGAGCCGCAGAGAGATTTATTCCAAGTTTGCGCTCTGATACTAGTAGCAGGATCTAAGGCTGTGTAGAGTTCAGGAGTTGAGGGAAGCAAGACGTAAATCATACAAGGCCGAAGCTCCAGGTTGTGGCGTAAATTATTTGTCGGCTTTCTCGTCAGTCTGGCTGACGTACGTTAGACTCATCTCGGGAGCTGCATGAGATACACACCGGTCGCGACACAGATCCTTCATCCCAGGAGAAGTTTCCTCAGGCCAGTTGGCTTGTTGCTTCCTGCCCTCATGCTGGGCCGAAGGGATACCTTAGCGAGAGCTGAGCTCAACGTTGCGGCTGCTTTCGTTGCGATTTTGCCGTCAGCAGGATGCAGTAGATTCGTTCGTGCGTGGGCAAGACTTGCGGCTAATGACTTGTTTGTGCAGGCCCCTTTCATGGGCGTCATTATCGGACCTCGTGGTGTCAACCACAAGAGGCTACAGGACCTGGGAGCACATTCAGGCGTATTTCGGGCACTGGGCCTTGATTGCTCTCTTCCAATGGTTTGCTATACAGCTAACACAACGACTTATCCCTTTTGCCGGCAAAGCTTGTCTTTGGAGATCTTCTGCCTGTGTACGGGAATAACTAGGAAGGTGTGCCAGTGTGCCAAGACTTACTATTCGGCTTCGATTTGGACTTTGTGTCGCCATTCGCATCTGTGAATCTGACTGCAGAAGGACACGACCGGCTGCAAGATCTTCATCCGTGGCCGAGATATCGGCACGCCCTTGCTCATGTTGGCAGCTTTACGGGAAGCGCGTATGCGCTCAGAGCCCTGATCTAATTCCTGCCTATGCTGCATTCCAGATTCCGGAAGCCCTCAAGGGAAGCGGATGCCGCAAGCGCCCAGTTGCCAAAGTGCCGTGCTTTTGCAGGCGACAAGTGGCAAACAGATGAAGAGGCAGCAATGCCGCAGCATGTCCAGACCTCGAATCGAGAAGGGAAGACATTGCATCAGCATGCGACCGTCCGGTGCGGAACAGATGGATGAAGCATTGTTGCCAGTTACAGGCGTAGTGCAAGCTGTTTCTGCTCTTTGTTGCATGCGGGATTTCGACCGATAAAACTCTTTAGGCGAAAGTACAGTTGACCCGCACACCACTGCCAACACCAGCAACAACAAAAACAACTACTGCTACTGCCACGGCTCATGCTACTACTACTACTACTACTACTACTACTATTAATAATAATAATAACTATTGTATAATAATTACGACTAATTACTACTAGTTACTACTACTACTACTACTGCTGCTGCTGCTGCTGCTGCTGCTGCTACTACTACACTACTACTACTACTACTACTACTACTACTACTACTACTACTACTACTACTACGACTACTACGACTACTACG